TGTCTGGGCCCAAATGTTTGCACCATGGAAGGGAAAAAAGAGAAGTTTCACCTCTAAGGAGAAAAGAACAAATAGTGGCGAATTCCGCAGGTTAAAAAAATCTGAAAAATAAAACACCACCAACCACCTCTCACGAAGCTTTTCATTTTATTCACGTTGTTTGTAAAGTAGGAACTGGTGGGAGGCATTGCAGCGGTTTCTCCTTGCACAGCCCAGTCTGCTGGGCAGGATTTCACCATCGTGTGGCAAATCAGGGAGCATCGAGTAAGGAGTAAATTGTGCTCTATGCGAAGTTATGGTCACATTCCACCTGTCATAAAACGCACGTAATGACCGATGAGAGAAATTACGTGTGAAAAGTGAAATGTTAAAGTGCTGCCCTCAAAATGTACCCTTAAAGAGTGCTTTCTGCTGAAGGGATTTTCTGTGGGATTGCTGCTTCTGTTCTCCTTTACAAACAGTGAAGCTGAAGGATGATGGCTTTGCCATCACACCTTGTGGTGTTCAAGCATTCCTCTGCCTCATCAGCGTTTGCATGCCTGGAATGGAAGCTTGTACAGAGAGAAGCCACAACCCGGTGTGTCATTGGGTCCAGGGAATATCTGGAGCAGATTTTGGAAGCCACCTTGTGTGATGCTGAGGTATTGCACTTTTGTGATCCCACTCATCAGCACCCAGGTGCCCATCAGAAAGCCAGGACTTTTTCCTTGAAGGGAATGCCACTCTTCCCATGCTGGGTGGGATGCAGACTGAGGATTTGGCATTGCTCCTTTGGTTAACAGCAGGAAGGAAAAGGTTGTGCTGAGGTCAGGGTGGGAGCCCAGGCTTCCCAAAGGACCTACAGGTGAGGAGGGACCCATTTGTGGCCACCTTGGAGCCATGGCTCAGTCACACTGGGCACAGTCCCTGGAGAAGAGGGCTTGTGGTTTGTGCCCCAGTGCCTGCAGGCAGCTGCTCCCATGGATATACCAAGGGCTGCATTAGCATGCTCCTAGGTAACGAGTACTGCAAAAGCTAATTAAGGAGAGTTGTCCTGTTTGAAATGGGTGGGACATCCCGTGAGCTGGTTCTGTGGAAGGAATTGGTAAGGTAGCATCTGAAAGTTACACTGTCTGGCTGGTTCCTGTACTATCTCTTTAAGGCAAATCGTGCTGTTTCTTGGAGGTGAAACGTGAAAATTTGGGGATATTTTTGTTGGTTTTTCTCTTTTACATGACTTTCCTGCAGTGTGCACACACTGTGGTCTCCCTTTGTCTTCTCACCAGCTGAGCCTCAGCTGCAGATTCCCAGGCTCTTCTTTCCCCCTCTGTTCTCAGCAGTGATTTAATAAATATAGTTTAAAAAAATCACTTTTTCCTTTCTCCTCCACCCGGCTGCCAACTCCCACCCCCATCCATGCGCGTATGCATGTGAGCTGAATTCACATCCGCAGCCAGCAGTAGGTCTGATTTCACCAGAACCAAACACAATCATGCTGCTTTCCATAATTTCCCCTCCGCGTCCTTTGGGCAGCTCGGATCTGGGGAAAGCATGACCTAGAGAAGGGCAGGCCAGGATGACAAAGTCCTTGCTCCCAGCAGACGGGATATGCTGAATCTTTGGAGAAACCCTGTCAGCACCACGTGGAATTCCCTACCCAAATTTGCTCAGTGCTACAGTAAATATTTTAGTTCTTGTTGCTGAACATTGAAAAACATGTTTGAATGCAGTCTGTCATGGGATTGCCTAATGTATATGTGTAGTTCTGCTTTCCAGTGCTTGAGTATTTATGGGAATTTTCTGCTTCTGAGATCTCAAATCCAGTGTTCCCTGGCACAGATCTATCAGGATTCCCATGGGCTTCAGTGGCACTTCCAGCACAGAAGCTCCCAATGCATTGAGGCATTGGAGGACAGGGATTCTGCCAGGACATTATGCTCACATGGAGCACGGTGCTGTTGTCCCCAGCACTACCTGAGCCAGCTCCATGATCAAACCCTGCTGAGGGTGTGCACACGTGGAGTGAGAGGTTTGCACATCGGGGTGCTTGTAGTGTGCATGGACCAGACTGATGCAAAGCAGGACCAGGAAAACTGAGGCATGATGGAATGATACAATTAAGCTAGGCTGTCCAGAGAAGGGTGAATGCCCCATCCCTGGAGGGGCCCATGGCCAGGTGGACTGGGGCTTTGGGCAACCAGATCCGGTGGCTGGCAACCAGGCCATAGCAGGGTTGGAACAGGATGGTCCTTAAGGTCCCTTCCAACCTAAGCCATTCTGTGATACAAGCCTCAAACTTTCCATTCCTGTCCCTGGACTGTTTTATGGGAAGTAATCCTTAGTTGAAACTTCCTTTAGCTTCTCCTGTGCAATCATTTCAGATCAAATGAATGCATAGTAATGAATTAGAGTTCTTCTGTTCACGGCGTTCATTCATCCCAATGGTTATAATGACTGTGGTAAAAATTAATGCAAAGTACGGAGCAGCTGACCACAAATAAACTGGAGAAAAAAATATAGCCCCGAGATTTTTGCATTTCATGGACTTCTGAAACGCGTATATCTAAGCCAGTCCTGCTGCCTTACTGCTGCACTGGTGTACAGCAAAAGCATTAAGGGTCTGAATGTAAGTGAAGTAATGTAAGACAAGATCTGTCAGCACAGGCTTTAATGTTGCTTAACAAAATATGTTACAGTAAATCTTTATAGACTGTATAAGTACGCTGAGTTCCAACAAAGTAAACCAAAGTAAACATTTCTCTTATGGGAAATTAAATTCCATGTGGTTAGGGCAGAGCTATGATTAATTCAATGGCAATGAGAATATAGTAAAGTTATTGACTGTGTCTGAGAAACAATTTAACGTCAGAAAGAAGAAGAAAGTCAAAACACCAAATAGTAGGAGGGGAAAAATAGAGCTGGAGTTTCTGATCTTTAATTATAAATTAAAGCTCTGATGCTGTAGGTATTAAAGCCCCATCAATTATTGATAACGAGCTCGCTGCAGTGTTAGCACACAGCCATCATCTGCACCGAAGGGGTGTGTGTGTGTGTGTGCCCATGTGTGCGTGTGATTTCGTTTACTCCCTGCATATCAACAGGAACAGTGAGCACTCGGAGGGCTGTTGGACCGCAGCCTCAGCCGGAGCGCATGGTTTCATAATGTTCGTTTTAGCTTTAAATGATTTTTAATATTCTACATATGGTTTCATGGTTTTAAGCCTCCTCACTGGGAATGAACAAGGCTGCGGTATTATGATGAATAGTGGATCAAATCCAGGAACACCCACTTGCTTCCCTACATATCAAACATGTGGCGCTCCCATTAAACATGGGAATCTCTCTGGGGATTGGAGTTGTCCTATCTAATCCAGTCCTATTTTGTTCCCCCGGCCCGGATTGAGTAGGATGCATTGTTCCCATACATTCTTCTTTTAATTAAATGCAGTAGATATGTCATGTCAATGAAATATCCCAGGTCTGTTTTTACATCTGTAGCCATTTTCTCCTCCTTTACTTCCATTTGCCTTCTTGGAAAGAAATTCTACGTTAATACAGTTTTGGATCAGTTGATTGGCCGTGTGCTTGCTGCCAAAAGCGTCCAAATAAAAACCTCAATGTTGTTTTTCATTTATTTTTTGCTTGCCGGCGTGAAACCGGACTGTAATGTTGTAGAGGCGCTGCTCCTCCGAGAAGTTTCAGACCCACCAGAAAACCCAGCCTCAGAATTAGGAAACCACCTTATCTTGCTGTTTGTTGTGTTAATGATTTTTGCAGCCATCCCACCGGCCCACGTCCCTCCCCATCTCCGTTACTTCTCCCATCCCTGCAGGTATTGGTGTGATGGAGGCTGGGCTCGGTTGGGTTTTGTATTTGCTGGGATCGTTTGGTGGCGGATCCAATGGACACAAATCTTCGTGGTTAATAAAACAAAACCCCTCCCTGCACGTAACGCCGGGCAGATTACTCAGGTTTGAAAACCGATCTGCTTTTTAACAACGTCGCGTTCAATTATTATTCTTTAAAAAGCTGGATTACAGCTAGGAATTCTCTGGAGGTTAAACTGGAGCCTTATTATAAGGGGAACTACAAGTAAACATTATTAATTATAAAAAAAAAAAAAAATGGCTTGAATTAGGTTTTTTTTCACACCTGCTTCTTTCTTAATTAGCTAGTAGTGCACATATTTCAGTCAGTTGAACTCTTTAGTATTTATTCAAGCATACTTGACATTAACATACTGTTTGATGTTTGATATCCTGAGTTTTTAATTTAACCACATGACAACAAATGGTATTTATGAAATATCAGTGAGCTGGAAAAACATCCCGTGTTGCAGTTGTGCGCTGTGGTGAGCTGAAAGCCGTTTCCTTTCTGAGGTTTAAGAAGGGTTTAGAAGCACAGGGGGGGATGTGTACCTGCAGTGGTGCCTCTATTTTGGATCCCCATTGAGATTTAGGGGCAGAGCTGCCAGGAGAGGAGCAGAGCAGGGCCTGCCCTGCGGACACACAAATACTTCTGGGGTGATGTCATAAGCGAGAGGGCTCTTACAGAATGGGATTTGTACAGACCAACAAGTCATCAAGCAAATATGTGACATCTCTGTGCCTGGGCTTAGGACAGTTATTACGCTTAGAGTCTGGATCGTTACCCTTTCCCTTCCTCGTTTGCAAACTTTCCATCGAAACATGCAGTATTCAGTGGTGTTTCAGTTGTGCCCAAAGCCTGAGCTGCCATCAGGTCTGTCGGCTCCGGCTGCTGCTCCCATCACCAGGCACGGCTCCTGCCAGGGCGAGTTTGCATTCAACCCACACTGTATAAACACGGGGTGCTGAGCCCAGAAACCACATCGGCATGTGAAACAACTTCCTTAGGATTTCACAGCGGGGCAGCGGCAGCGCGACGATTAGCGCAGAGCCCTGAAATCCCAACCTCTGTTATGAGAGCATTGCCCCGTGGATTTTTATGTATTTATTTTTTTGTTTTAATGGGAAAACTGAGGTATGAAGTGGTCAGTCGGGTCTGTCACAGCGGCTCCACGTTAAGGGCAAAATCCAGTCCTTCAGGTTGTGTTTGGGTAGGGCATTGACTTCAGGACGTGTCAGTTATCTCTGAGTGAATAATCCAGCATCTGTAACTACGAAGCCTCATAACCAACAGGGACAGCTTCTCAAACTGGCTGAGTCTTTGCCAAAACCTCGATACCTGCTGTTTTGGTCTTCGTATATCATCCTGCACAAGGTTTACGGGGAAATGGTTGGCTTTGTGGGTAAACGAAAGGGTGTGGAAGCTCTGAGTCATTTGTTAAATCTGCTGCAGATTCTCTTGTGCAAGTCTCATTCTCTTCGGTCTGTTTCCCATCTGACAGCGAAGTTTTCTGATTTGGTTTACGGTTGTTACATTAAGCAGAACGCAACTGTTTGGAAAAGGCTGTCGTTAAGGGTTTGTCGGTTAATGTATTTGAGGTCCCACGTGAAAAATGTCAGGAATGGAATGGCAAGAAGTCGAAATTTCAGGTTGGCTTAGAATGGAGTTTGTGTTTGTTTTAAAGTTAAAAAACAATCTCATTTTAAGATCAAAGCTCTTATTTTTATTGAATCATGGAATGCCTTGGGTTGGAAGGGATCTCAAGGGTCACCAGGTTCCAACCTCCTGCCGTGGCTGATTTGCCAGCCACCACATCAGGCTGCCCAGGGCCCCATCCACCCTGGTCATGAACACTTTTGTACATTTGATACTTCTGCCCTCTATAAAAAATAGAACAAACTACAGGTGTCTCTACCCTACCTAGTGTTTTTGCTTTTTCTCTTGATGTACATATTTGTATTGTTAAGATGCTATTGATTGTTAGGATGGTATTTTATATTTCTGAAGCCATTGGGGACCATCGCTCAGGTACGAACCACAAAGCATCCAGCAATAATTACTGCATGGCTTTTATTGCGTTTCCTTCTTCTGGGTCAGGTAGAGTCTTCTGATGAGGAAAAAATGGTATCACGCACTGATTGAGACTTGCTTTTATTTTTTTTAAAGTTCCTGGTGTTGCAGGAGATGCCAGTTTATGTATTCTGTTGATCTGTCAGTAAATCACTTCAACCTTTGTCACATCAATGTGCGTCCGCTTTTCTTCTCCCTGCCTGGCTGCTGCAGTGTGAGACCAGGCGCTGGCTGTGCTTCCATTGCCACGAGCACGTTGGCAGTGGAAAGAAAGCAACAAAAGAGTGGTTGTGTTTGCACCCAGCACCTCAAGGAGCGTGCATGGGGAAATATCTGCTGCTGGGGTGGGGTTTGCTCCGAAGCCGGCCGTGCTGTGTAACAAATGAAGCATGCGTAAGAAATATTAAGAATGGGTTTAGAGAAAATCCCTCATGTTTGTGGAATGTTCTAAACCGAGAAGAATATCTTCATAAAAATAAATGGGAGACAGATGCATGAATTTGGAGTGGCAGAGTAAATCCTGAGCGAAGAGAAGCTTGGGTTGAATGTCTGCACGTGCTGGCAGGTCAGGATAACAGCAGAGATGAGACTTTATTCAGACTTGCTGGAATTCATGCATAACAAAATTGCATCATCTTTGCTAGGATCTTACATTACCTTTGTGTTAATTAATGTGGGGTAAGAGTGCATTTATCAGCTATTTTGCTACTTTTTTGGGGGGAAGGGGAGAAAAAGCTGAACTTCCATCATCCTCTGTATCTCAGAAGAAGTAATGACATAATCTGAGCCTGCCAAAACCTGGGACCTCCATTACTGCTTTTCCTTTAATGCATTTTTTTTTCCTTTGCTAATATGACATTCTTCAGTTGATGAAGGCTGAGAGACAAAACCAAATCTGAAGGTATGGTTTTGGCTTTGATTGCTTAGCATTGACCTGTCGTGGCTGTGCAACAGTTGGCTCCTAGGGAGGCTGGTTGAGGCTTAATGTATGGTTCAAAAAGTGAAGTCCAAAGGCCACTGATGGCAGTCAAAGCCTTTCACTCACCTTGATGGAGTTTGGCGTGTGGAGACTGAAGTGCTATGTTATGGTGTCGTGGTCCTTGGGTAGAATGGGAGGGAGCTGTGAGCTGTGCTGTTAGGCACGAGGCTGCTAGGAAACGTGGAAATGGGAGCGACGTTGCAAAGGTGCATGCTGCTTCTAAAACTCTGAACAGAATAATTAAATGAAAGGAGATCACAGCCCAGCCAAGTGTGCAACACATCTGTGTCATAAAACCTTACAAGGAGGCAAACTCCCTTTGAAGGCCTGAGATGTAACACCATTTCTGTGCAAGCCAGGGACAGGGGAAAGTGTTGGAGCACGTTTTGGGCACCCTCACACCACGGGCCTGATGTTTTCATCCGTGCCTGGATGTGTTTTTAACACAGGCATCGCTTGAGCCCTCTGGTATTCGCTCACGGTGAGGTCAGTGAATGAAGATGTTTGTGCAACAATCAGCTCCTGCAGGAATGGAATAGAACACTGAGGTTCTCTTCCTAAGGGAGAAGCCTTCACTGGGGGTAAGACAGCTGATTTGGAGAACATTCTGAGCTTTCCCAGCAGCTGAGATGGGCAGCTTTTGCCTCAGCATTGCAGTCCTTAACCTGCTCCTCTGCTAGCTTCCCTCTGCGTAGGGTGAGCACCAAAACTCCAGTTACCATTTATTCAAAGTATTTCCCTATGTCTGAGATGAAGAGGGAAGCTTTGCAAACCCACCAGAATAGTTCTGTGGAATTTAGTTCCTGTGCTCTCAGCAGCTGCAGGGAGGGCTTCAGTTCTGCTGTAGCTTTTGGGTTTCACCTGCATGAAACAGAACTCCTGTTGAACCGCTAGGAGGATGATTTTCCTTGAAAGACCACAATCTTAATATCTTAATCCCAGTTTATTCCACAGGTAGGAAAAGAGCCAGATCAACTGACTGGCGTAAAGAAGACACCACAGACTTTTTTTTTTTTTTTTTGAACTCTTCTTTTAAATTTTGTATACCTGTACATATATATGTAGATATACGTGCATACACACACATACATACGTAAAAGAGGCTACTTCAGATTCTGCAGAAGTAATAATAAAACCAGACCTAATGGGTCACCATATGTGGAGAGGAGTTCTCTTGGGTCTTAGGATATACACTTAAAGAGTGAAATAAAGAAAAGGAAAAAAGCAGTCATATTGGCAACTGTTGTTAGGTAGTATAAACAATAGCCAGCCATTGGCTTGGAGCAGAGGATCAAGTTCCAATAGCACTCAATAGGGAGCCTTCCTTAAAAAATTAGAAGAAGCTGGGTTGGAGCTGGTCCATGCTGGGAATGGCAGAAGAAGCAAAAACAAGAGTAAATGAATGGAAATTAAGCAGCAGGAAATGGGGATTTGGCACAAGGTTGGAATTTGAAACTGCAGAGAGGTGTCAGTGATAAAGGTTGGATAGAGTTTCTGGCCAAAAACAGAGAGAAAGAATGCAGATGTGTTCATTGAATAAAGTGCAGATGTAGAATGTAGGGGAGTTGATTGGGGGGGTGGAGGGGGAAGTAGAATAAAGACAAGGAAAAAAGAGAAAATGGAGGAGAAATAATGCTGCAAGTCAGTGCCTTCATGGTTAGTGGTTTTCTGAAGTGTTTTTTTCTCGGGGTCTGCAGAGAACAGCAGCCCTGGGTCGTGTTTGCAGTGCTGTGCTCTGCAGGGAGCACCTTGCTGCCTATAACTTGCTCTTGCCCCATGTTCTTTTGCGTCGTGCAGCAGCAGCATCCAGGTGTGCCGTGGGCTGCAGAGCTGCAGCTTCTCCTCTGGCTGTATCTTTAGGAAGAGAAGGTGATGTCATTGCAGGAACGATGGTGTTTCTGCTTCGTGTAGAGGTTGCAGGATGTCACGGTCTCGTTTACAGGCTTTTGGTGTCACTGTTTTCCTCAATTGCTTTTTGCTCCTCTCTGCCTCTTTTCTGCATAGCGTCTATGCCTAAATCCAGCATATGGCCACACAATCAAAATTTATCATGTATTATTTATATAAAGCCACACTATGGCAATTGACAGTGGGTATGTTCTTCCTAATTACAAAGCAGGCTTATTTTCTTAAACTGTTGTGAATATGAACCCATTTTCCCCTGCAGTTGGGCAGGCTAATTGCAGTTTTGTTTCCGTTTCTGCAGCTCATCTGATGAGTAATGCTGTTGTATTCTTTCCCTAAAGTCCTTTTATGGCCCACATTGCAATTGCTTCTGAGTGCTCCTCTATACATCTGGCTTCAGATTGCTGCAGTGACAGAGGGAAGTCCTGCCATTCGTGTTGCATTGCTGCACACTTGGTAAACCAAAACACAGCGAGCTTTGAAGGCATTGAGCCATTGGTCTCCTACTGATTTGAGCACATAAAAGAAGAGAGATGCTCTCTGTGAGTCGCCAAATGTTCTCATCTCTGTAGCAGAGCTCAGATTAGGATCTAGATCCACATGTTTTGTCTGGGTCCGCTGTGCAGTTCTCTGTCAGTTCTGTGCTCATGGAGTCGTAGCTTTGGGATGGGGATGAAGCTGTGTCCATGTGGTCTCCCCTACCTCCTTGGAATTCACATCACAACGTTATTTATTTAACTGTGTGTATTACAATGTCGTGGTGGCTTTCTGGAGGGCCTGCTTCCTCTCTTGCCCCCTGTCTTGTGCATTGTGTGCTGAGTAGGAGAGCCAGCACAGGACCTCAGCTCTCTGAAAACATCAGCAGAAATGAATGGTAGCCTTTGAGTTGTATTTGGCCCATTCACAGATTGGTTATGGATCCGTGCTGTTGGACCCTCCTCTCTAACTCAGTGTGCGCCCTGCCCTGTTGGCTTTTTGAAAGCCTGTCCAGATGAAATCGTTTCACTGCGCTGGGAGCCAACCCAAGGCAGTTGCAAAGGATGGCACTCACTGATGGATGAGGCATCCAGGTGGGTAACCTGCTGGTTATCTTCCTTCAGAGTTCAATGTAAAGCTCACAAACAGAACTGCTGTGATGCTCACAAGACTGATGTGGAAGGAGAAGATGTGCAGAGGTTGAACAAAAGAGATGATGGAGTTTAATGGAAGAAACAGACTTAAAAAAGACAGTAATAAATCAATTACGTTACTTAAAATAATTTAATTTTCAGCAATTAGGTAAATCGTTGTAGGCTTGTTTGCTATTTTATTCTAATTGCAGCATTTTAGGACTTGGACACCTAATTCTGGATAAGTAAGACAGAAAATAAAGGGTGTTCTGGTGTCTGAGTATCATTTAATAATTTGCTCAAGTATAAAATGTTTTGAATCCAGAAACTCTTTATTGTCTTTTAAACTCTTGAAGGAATCTGTAGTGCTTTCTCACAGCTGTTGTTTTGCTCTTAACCACAAGTAGTTGTTGCACAACATCTCCTTTATATTTCAGGGTGTTATTGAAAAAAAAGGAAAAAAAAAAAAGCAACAACAACAAAACAACAGAAACTACAGAAATAAATATTTTTCTTATGCTATTGTCTATTATGAATTTTACTACTCGTTTCTGCCAGAACCATCATCCTGGAACCCTAGAGAACTCTAAAACTAGGAATTGGAGGGTGGGGAAGGCTTCCCCATCCTGCAAAAACAACCCCTTCCCAGCCTCAGCCTTCACGTGGCTCTCAATTAATGGGTTGTTATAGAATTTACCATTAAGGTGCCTGGTGACTTTTGTGTGCCCAACTCCTGTGCAAATTCGAGGACCCCTGGCATGTTAGAATAAGGTGTTATATTGATTACATTCCTTTGCATAGGGGCAGTCCTGCAAAGTGCTGTGTACTCTCTGCCTTTACTCCCCGAGTTTCAAGGGTTTGGCCAAGTGCACAAATGCAAACATGAGTGGATGGCAATGCTAAGGATTTTGCAGCTGAACTCCATCAGACTCCTCTGTGAAATCATTGTTAGGTGGCCCGGATACTTGCTGAGAGCTCTTGCCTTTTCCTATGTCAAATCCTGGATGACATCAATAAACAAGGCAATAAACTACAAAATGGAATACATTTTTAAAGGGGCACAAATCCTGGCCATGAAAAGGATTGTTATCCCTGCTTTTAAAGCAGCATCTGGCCACCTTCCTTTTTCTATTTCTCCATTTCTGCTTCATCCCTCATTCCCTTTCCCTCCCAGCCTTCCCTTCTGGAGTCTTTTAAGTATAGATGCTACTTACATGCCTAAACAGCTGTAAAACTACCAGCACAGCCCCCTGTAAATGCTGACCAGATGCGTGGCGGTGAGACGTACACACGGACAGCACTATCACCACGTCGGGAGCCTGAACTCATCGCCTCATCCCCTGCTCATGGGGCAGCATGAGGGAGAACTCTGCAGCAATGCTGAGCTCTGCGTGCTGGGGCAGGAGAGGCAGTGGTGGAGCCTGGGACTGGGGGGCTTGCAGAGCTAGAGATGGGGAATTTCTGGCAGCAGGAGCATTGGTTTGCATGGGGAGAACCAACCTGTTGCTGTTCAGCAGTACACCTTTGCACAGCTGGGCACTGCTGTGGTTGGCTGGGGTGATGCTCTGTGCTTTGCTCCTCCCCATCCCACATGCCCAGACATGGGCTTATTGCGTTCAGCTCTGCAGCTCTATAGAATGCTTGCATCTGTGGGTTCTTTGTAATTTGGCACAGGGCTCTTAGTTGCAAAGCTAGGCTCTTAATGCTCCCTTCTCACGTGAACTCTCAAGTTTCGATGTCTTTGCACCCCCTCCACCCTTTCTGACCATCTCCTTCTCGCTAAGGAGTGCTGTGGCTAGCAGTTATCTGACTGGCATGGCTTATTTACTTCACTTAAAAACAAACACACAGAGATTCAGATTTTGAGCTCTCCCAAATACCTGGGGGTGCTGGCATCGAGGAGTTTGGCTTCTGGCTTGTGTGAAGTTAGAAGAGAGACCAAAAATGGAAAAGCTCTCATTGCTTCTCAGAGCAGGACCTTTTCCTTCCTACAAAAGTGGTGGCAGAACTCAGGACTTGAGAGACCCAATTTTCCATAATGTAACCAGAAAATAGAGAAAAAAATCCCTGTCTCACTTGTACCTCTCAGTACCATCAGGGCCATGGGGGAGGGAGGGGAGGAAGATGCTCCTGGTTGCCTTGCAGAGGTGCAGAGGTTGATGTCATAGAATCATTACCTTGGAAAAGACGTCTAAAATCATCAGGAGGTCTGGTGCACACTGATGATGTTTGTTGTTGCTTAGAGCACCTTTTAATTGCAAAGCCGTATTTCAGTTCCCATAGACGTGCATGTGCAGAATGCAGCCACCTCTGCAACACAGCACAGCAGTTTGGTGCAGTGTGCTGTGCACCCACGGAAAGAACTCAGCACAGCAGCATAACAGGGCCAGCTCCTTGCCCTGCAGCAAAAGGGAACGTGTGGACTGACCATGAAACCTTGTGCAAGTGCAAAGGTTTTAACTGAGAGCCCCATAATGCACTGACAGTGGTGTTCCACTGCT